AACGATAGATTTTATAAATAGACAACATATAATTCTTAGTTACATAGTAGACAACAATTAACTAACCGAGTAAACTCAACTACCTAGTTGAATCTAGTTGGAATGAAACACATGAGGTAGCCTAGAACTAACCTCAAATAAACAAAGCACACAAACACTAAAAAAATATAAAAACTCTCACATGTGGATAATTCGAACTCTGAGAATGAAGGCTCCCAACAGGAGAATAAAAATACAAAAAATACACACAAAACACAAGAAAAAACCTAATAACTAGACTAAGACCCTCTACAACATCCGAAAAAACAACCTCAAACCACCTCCACACGAACCAACACCCAAACGCGATCAACCAAAGGATAGCGACACGATCAACAACCCAACACAAAGGATCTAAAATCTTCCCCTACAACTAACTAGATTCGGACCATTGGACCAACAACCCGATAACTCTCCCAACAGTTCACCGCAGAGTCAACACCGGGAGACCCGCACCACAACCTCCCCACGCATAAATCGAGAGTTGCAGCACCACAGCACCGCCATCACCGGAGAGACCAGCCATCCCAACACCAGGAAAGGTCGGAAGGCGGCTAACAGAACTGTGCCACCACGAGATCAACGGCGGGCCATCGACCCAACCTCTGTCTTGACCACTAGTTATTTCGGTAGAACACCACGCGGAGCACAGGGCGCTGATGAGGAAAAATAGGACATTGAACAAAAGAGAGGCGCATAAGCAATATACGAACGAGGGTTTTTACGAAGAGAGGGTGAAATTGGAAAAGTTTGAGAGAAAAAAAAAAAGTTGAAACGACAGTCAGTTCATTTAATATACAGGATTTTGCAAGAACCAAAAAAAAAAACAAACCATTTTATATGTTCAGTTATTCTGATTTTTTTTGGTTAATCGAATAAAAAAAATAAAAGNCAAGAGCCATTACAAAACAAAGGACTGGATAATATAAACAAAGAATCAAAACTTGTTAGTACATATAAAATAAAAGACATGCGTATTGTGCATATGTCTTCGGTTTTTCGCTTAATAATTATAGATTCGCTTTTATAACCGTGATGTGCAGGAGACTTGGATTTAGGTTGAGCCGGTAGAAAAAGACCTCATATCATCCAAGAACAACTGATTACCTACAAAGCAAATGGTCGGGAGTGATTCCCGACATGAGCAGTCTGACGCTCAAGTTAGTAAGGAGAAGAGGAAGATGAAATGTATGGATTGCATATAGATGTATGTATATCAAAGAGTGTAAAGTATTTTAGTTGTACCTCAGCCCCCTTTAATAGAAGGAATACATTGGTGCCTAAGATTTAGCTGCTCGAGCTGCCCTGATCACTCTGCCTAGAACTGCCCAAGGTTTGAGCCTTATCAGCTTTGTGTTCATCCTTTGACATGCGTCATATTTACGTGCATTTTATAGTGATTTCCGTGTCCGTTTTGTCGTAGTTTGATATATAATTAATTACTATTTAATTAATTATTATTTAATTAATTAATTATTTAATTATTTATATTAAGCTATGATAAAGTGTTTTATTTGAGTTGTGACAGGAAATAGGTCGAATTAATTTTTGGAGTCGAAAACGGTGAGAAAGGGACATTAAAAGAGCACTAGTTATGCATTGGAAAAGGCCCAAGCAGACAGCCCACAAGAGCAACATGATAGCTATTTTATTTAGTTTATTGGGCCGAAAAATCTGCCATTAATTGTCCTTAACAGCAACCCAAATTATATGGCCCAAAATCACATTAATGGAGGGTGTAGTAGTCATTTCACCATGAGAGATGTCTTTCTTCACCATCTTCTTCAAGCATTCACGTAACATTAGCATGTCCGCCATTGTTGAGTAGCTGCTGCTGGACCAAGCTCGCCACCGCGCCGCCACACATCACCGGAACACCTAGCCGCTGCACAGACGTCGGAGCGGAACTGAACGCCGCAACCGCCGCGTACTCGCCGGAGAAGAAGCTCGCGGCCGGAATTGGACCGGAGCTCGCATGGCCGACCACAGCGACGTCTTCTGACCACCTGGACGCCACTTAAACCAACCGGGAGATGCCTGAGAACCCGTAGAACACGTCAGGAGCCGAAATATGCCGAGAAAATGGAGTTTCAGACTCCCAGGTACACACGGGTCGTGTGAGCCCGAGACACGAGTCGTGTCGTTCCGACGAGTCGTATATGGAGCTCTCGACTTTGTCACACGACTCGTGTGGCTTATGACACGAGTCGTGTGACCCTGGGCGCGACTTGTACGGATTTTACGCGTTTTTCCTATTTTTTTGGGATTTTTCGACCTATTTCGACTAGGACTCGACCTCAGCTATATATACAACCCTTGGATACGTTTTTGGGGAGTCTTGAACATAATTTTCAGATCTTTGGAGACTCTTGGAGGCTAGAAACACGAGCAAGACGAGGGAGAAAGCCGGGAAGGAAGGATCGACGGAGCCGAATAAGCTTTTTCTTTCTTTTTCTTTTTCTCTTTCGAACTCAATGTTTTATATTTATTTTTCTTATTTTGAAATCATGTTTCTAGGCTAGATTTATTTAGATTCTAGGATTTGTTAGTACTCGGATTGATTTATGATTTAGTTTTTATTTATTTCATTCCGGTTTATCTTTCGTTTATAAATTTCTTGTGCTTATTATTATTGTGTGAGTAGATGGCCACTATGAATGCATATTTGTAATTGATTTGAGACCGAGAGGAGATAATTGATTGCTAGAATTGGGAGATTTATAACGTAAGAGAATAAACAGACCGAGAGGTTGATAGGACCTTGCGAGAGAACGAAAATCCTAGGAACTTATGGGAGTTAGTTGTTCATCTTGAGACCGAGAGGAGATAGATACAATTAATATCTACGATTTGACTTGTTCGAGAGAAAGGTTTGAAATCAATTTAGCGATTATCTCTACGATTGGTAAAATTAAATAAGGTTTGTTTGAATATAAACGTTTCATGAATTAATTCCGAGGAACGCTTAGCCTAGAATCTACCTTTTGTTCCATTATTTATTTTTATTTTTAGTTAGATTAGTTCTAGTTTAATTCTTAGTTTATAATCATCATTCAATTCACTAGTCTAGATAATATTGAAACGTCATTATTTTAGTACTTAGTTAATTTAACTACAATCTCTGTGGAATACGACCTTGCCCGCCACTACCTATAGCTACTCCGTACACTTGCGGATAGCAAAAATAATTAGCGAACATCCTTATCTTGATCTCGTTCTTATAACCACTTGATTCATCCTTATCCTGATTAGATTCCACTTTATCTTGATTAGGTCTCCACCAACTCAGGTCCCTCGATCCCTGGTGTTCTTACCGTGTTAATATGTCGTAATTCCTTAGGTCATCTCGTCTCAATGAGTATTGATGAGTTGGGTCTCTAAGACAGGTGTATCTTATCTGTTCTCTTTTGTCTTGTAGGTCGTCACACCGGGTGCTAAAAAGGGAGATTCTCATAACTGAATCAAGTAGCAATGAGGTTAAGGTGCCGAGGATGTGGAATACAACTTGGTATTTAAAGGTGAAGAATAAGTTAAAAATAAAAAGTACAAAATGTTCGAGATGTTGGCATAAGTTTCTTTGTACCACCGATCAACTGAAGAATAAACTTCTGTGTGGATTCTATTTGCTGCTTTTGTGGAGACGAAGAGGGAAATTTGGAACACATTCGATCTCGCAGGATTGACCAACCCAGTATGGTATTTCTAAATGTCCCAGGGCCATACAGGTTTGGAAATTGTCAAGACTTGACTAGAATGACTTGCAGAAATCAACTAATTCTTTTAGAACCAGGTGTCTGATATCTGCTATATAGACGGATTTGGCTGCATCATAGACAAAATTAATCTTTCAACTTACATTTTATGGTGGCTGTGGGAAACAAGGAAAAGTGTGGTGTTTAATAGGGTTTGGAAAGTAGAATTTGAAAGGGAGGGTCTTGGATGGAATTGGCTGAATTTTGAGGAGGTAAATCAACATTCCTCTGTATTATCTTCTCAGTACTTTGTTGTTTTGGTTGGAAGCTTTGAAAATGTATGATGGGTGGTCTTTCGCTTCTTGTTTGAGGTGGTTGTTCTGGAGTTTGTTGTCAGTGCAGTGTGTGAGAGTTAGTTGGTGTGGCTGGCAGTGGTGTTTTCCTTCTATTGTCTGGTAGAACACTGTTGAGGATCATTGTTTTGATTTAGTGGTTAGAGTTCTACTAGGTTGCTTTCTCTTCTTCTCTTCTAGCTTTTAGTTGTTGGTCCGTATAGTTAGCTGTTGTTTCGTTTGTTTTCTATTTGGTTTCTTGAACAATTAGTCTCTTTCTTTGTTTGGTTTCTTGCTTTGCTGATTCTTCGCTTTTTTGTTGGTTGGAGGGTTTTGTTTTCTTCGTTTACGTGTTTGCTTTAGTGTGGACAAGAGTTATGTACTGGAATGGTGCGCCTACTGTACTTTGTGTTAAATTCTCTTTTATATAACATTTGACGTTTTGAGGGAGAAAAAAAAATACAATGCCTTAGGGGATGCTTGGATATAAGATTATTTTATTTTGTTTAGATATTTTTATTTGATTTGATTAATTTTGAATAATGTGGTATGTTTAGTTGTTAGTGTGATTTTGAGTTTATATTGAAATTGATATAACATCTAGAGTAGCCCGGTTTATTTAGCGTATGAATAGCCCGGCTCATGCTAATAGCTCGGCTTTGAACCAGTTAGGCGGGCGACAGTCTTGATTATGTCATTAAGCTCAGCTTTATGAGCTGTTGGATAAGTATAACTGGAGGGAAAATGGCTTACAACTAGCTCGGCTTTATTAGCTTATTTGTCATGCTAATTGCCCTGGCTTACAACTAGCTCTGCTTATGAGCTGCGAAAATGGCTCGGTGACCGAGCAGGTAGCCCGTTCGCAGCAATAGCTCGGCTTTATGGTAAAAATACGAATAGCAGCTCGGCCTTATAGAGTAGTCCGGAGAGGTACGGCTTGGCTTAGCGGTGGAGAAAGGGTGAGTTGGGGAAAGACCGAGCAGATGAGACAGTTAGGGGCAGTAACATATAGAGGACACGTGGGGTGTCAGGATCAAGAGGAGATAAATGATCTAACGGAGTAGAGACAAAGACGTATTGAGCAAGCTAGTAACTTCATATAAATAGGTAAACCATGGAAGGAGGTGAGGTTAATCAATCTACAAACCCAAATTCTATATACAGCTTTCCTTCATCTTCTTTTATCTTCTACTGACTTGAGCGTCGGATGTTTATCGCCGGGAGCACCTCCCGGCGTCTTTGCAGGTCTTGGAGCGGTCGAGGATTGGAGGGAAGCCGGTTCAAGTGCAGAAGCACATCAGAAATAATATTTAAAATTAAAGAATTAAAGTTGATTCGATGTAAAAGTAGGAAAAAGATGATGTTACGTGATGGTTAGTAAAATTATGTGAGTTGATAAATAGTAAATTAAAATTGATATAATGAGTAAGAATGATTGTTGATGTTATTTAATTATATATACAATGTTGATGATAGTGGAGTTGATTAAAGTTGAGTTAGATTTGAGTTAAAAAATGATTGAATAAATTTGACATGAATTTTTTGGGATAACATGTATCCAAGCATTTGCCACATATGTGATATGTCCAATTAAATAAAAAAATAAAAGAATCATACGTAAAAGAAAATTCTATTATATTATAACAATGGAGAATTACAAATTAAAATAGGTANAAAAAAAAAAAAAAAAGAACTCTTTCATCATTGATGGATATTTATCTAATCTTTAAGATTGACAACCACAACCATCCTTTTACAAGAAGGAAAAGTAATTACATTGTTCACAATATGGACGAAATCATCATCTTGGGCCGATTCTTTATGTCCTCCTCTTCTTGGTGATCGCGTGCCAAAATAGTTTACCATTTCAATTTCGCTGGAAAATACTGCAAAACAGTTTCTTCGTTAGCTAAACAAAGAAATAATGGATTTTATAAAGTAAATTATAAAAACTATTGAGTAGCTTCGATTTAATATCTATATTGTATTATTGTATATACAAAATAAATAAATAATTAAAAAAAAAATGCTTTGATTGAACCTTCTCAATAAGGGAAAGGTAGTAGGGCTTCACTTTCTCCACATCAACCCGAACCTTGCTCTTGCTATACAAGTCATATTTGCTGCACATGTTTGAAAATTTGTCAATAAATGTCAAGTTTATGAATTAATTTTGTTGCTTATTTATTAATGTTGTTACCATAATAGATTTGTAATTTAATTTAAGAGAAGAAAAATGTATACTTGAATATGTGCAGCCACTTCAGATTCTCTTTGTCCTCCTTATTCATCAAGTGTGTATAAGCTCCAGCTTTATGCAATGCTACATCATACATACAAAATTCAGCATATATATATATACTAAAATAAAACATTATTATTTCTTAACTTATTTATAATTCAAACTCAAGAACAAGAAAACATAATCTTACGGTAGAACGAGTGGTAACGAACGATGAATAACGCGGCAGAAGGCAAAGTGGTACCGTTTTCCTTGGCAACCTATTTAGACAAAAATGAAATTATACCAAAATATTAAGTTTAATTTTGATTTTCCCCAATCAATTTTTAAAGGGCATGGAAAATAAAGATGATTTTTTTAAAATTTATATTACCAAGTACATGTAGTCATCGTGCCCCCACGACATAACAACATTCTCTAAGCCGCATCCTTCTTGGTAAATCCCGTTTTTACCATTGTATGTTGGGTTGTGACTATCTGGATTGCTTTTAAAATGCTGCAGAACAAAATGGTGAATTAATTTTCATGAATATGGATAACCAACAAAGAGCTAAATTGAATTAACTTTGATTAATTACCTTGTGGTGAACAATGGATTCATCAAAGGCACATCCAAGAGGGAATGTGTCACCTGTATTTTTTTATATTCAAATACATATTAGTAATTAAAACATTCTTTACCTTTTTGTGTATTAAAAAATTAAGCTTGAAATTTGAATAAATTAAACTAATATAATTAATTCACTTACCAACAACAGCCCATTGAGGCAGCTCCCCAAAGCTAGGAAGGAGAAGTACTTTCCCAAGATCTGCATTACATGCAAAAGATTAAATTGAGTTTCCATATAATATATTTAGCAAATTAATTAAAAAATAAAAGAAATATAATAAATTATTATTATTATTATTATTATTACCGTGAATGAGTGCAGTCAAATGTAGCCAATCTTCATTGGGATAATCTTTTCTAATGGCCTCAGCAGTTTGAAGCAAATGCTCAATTTGAGGCTCATCTAAATCAGGATCACTATCATCCACAACCTCATTTAACATCTCACAACATTCCCAAATGCTCATTTCTATTCTATCCAGTTTTGAGTATTTTTCTCTCATCTTCTTCACCTGAATTTGGGTATTAATATAAAATAAATAATTAACTAATATTGTAAACGTTACAACATCTAATTAGTAATCAATTGAAAATTTTCACTACTCACAAAGTCATATGTTTGGTTAATATGATTCAGTCTGTAAAACTCCTCCACAGATTTCTGCCTTTCGCTTTCAGCATCATAATCCCTGTATTTTTTTTAATATAAATACATTAATTACAATTAAATCAATTTCATACAATTTAATAATAATAATAATAATAATTCAAATGTAATGTGGGTCGCTAAAAAAATAATGGTACCAATATTATGACCTTAATAATGTGCTTGAGTGTGATTTTCTCGTACAAGTAGCTTATCACACACATATATATACACACTAAAAATGGATTGAAAGTGAAAGGTACAAAAATTAATNNACTCAAAGTAATTGAATGTTCAATAAAAACCTGAATGAATGACCAAATGCGTTGATATCAGGGGCTTCAAATCCCATTCCCTCGTTTGCTTCCATATTAGGGATTTTAAATCCTCCATCCAGCAAAAGCTCTGAGATTAATTAATTTCACACAAGAAAACAAAATGTGGCAGATTAATTAATTTATGCATTTTTATATAAAAAGCAAAAGACTATTATTCAATAAAGCTCAACAAAAGTGACGTTAAGCATACCTAACTATGGATATTTATTATGTTATTTAAAGAAATGTTCATAATGGAATACTTTGAAAAAAAAAATATAAATAAAAAGATAATATTTCAAAATTATAAATACACATCGTTGTGTAGAAAAAAACACCATTTGTAATATTTTGAATATAAACAAAGGGGGAAAAATGTTTTAGAATTACCAAGCTGAGGCTGCTCAATGAGAATAGTCATCTTCTCAACAAAATGTGATGATAAAAATTAAAACTAATTTTATATAAGATATATATTTTTTTCTCTCTTTTTCAGTGCTAAGAATGAACGAAATGTTTTCTCTCTTGATGCTTTGAAGTGGTTGACAAAAGCGTATTTATAGTAGCAACAAAATGTCCTTGACTGAGAATTGGAAGGTTTGGAGTCCTCAACTGGAAATCTATTTGGAGTCAGAGTCCTCATCTGAAAATATGCATGTCTTTCTTAGCTGTTTTTGTATCAGAAAAAATCTATCCTTTTTTTTTTCCTTTAGAAGCGTTCATCCAAAGATGGGGATTCTGCTCTTTCCAGAGCGCGTGCGTCCACGACGTTCACCTATTTATCTATACCTACAACTACATGCCACGTAGATCATGTAACAAAAATAAATATTGGATTAAATGAATATCGTTATTTAATAATCTATATCTATATTTATATCTATATCGATATCTATATCTATCTATATCTATATCTATATCTATATCTATATATCTATATAAAAAAGTTGTTGGAAAAATACATTAATAGAAAGTTTGACCAAATAAATATAATGTTTGACTTACTATTAATGGAAAGTTCAAAAAAGCACATGTGAATCTTTAGTAACAAAATCTAAATCCTATTTTTTTGGTAACAAATTTGGATATTCTTATGGCAAAATTTGAATCCCATTTTTTTCATATCATAATATAATATTTTTTTTACCAAAATTTAAATCATATCTTTTTTGTTAACAAATTTGGAGATTCTTATGCAAAAAATGTGTCAATTATTTATGAAAACAATTCTAAATACAAATTAATTTAAAAACCGTACAAATTGAATACAAATTTAGGAAGCAAATAGTTGTATAATTTTTAACCAATTCTTCCAATCTTATTGAATAATTTTTTCATTTAAAAAAAATTGTGTAAATTGAATAAAGTCACGTGCAATTTTTATTTTAAAATAAACTGATATTTTGACGGGATGTACATTCAAAATTGTGTCCACATTTTTTGATAACAAAAGCAGTTCATCATTGATATTTAAAGTCACCTTATCCAATTATTTAGGAAAAATTGTGTGCAACTTTTCAAAATTTAAATGCATCGGTTTTTTTAGATTCTTATGTTTTTTTCTTAACCATGTTTTACCGAGATTTTGGTAAGTTCATATCATTTTTTTTTTTTGGTTAAGTTCATATCATTTTCTTTAAGAAAGAGACAGTTGCATAAACATTAACAACTTATTTCAATTTTTTATTAGAATTATTTTCAATTAATTTGTTTGGTACAAAAATCGGTGCAATGTTAGGAAATTCAATTGCATTTTTAGGAAAAATTGATAATTTTTTTATTTGGTTTAAAAAAAAAATTCGGATCAATTTGTTTGATAAAAAAATCGGTTTATTGGTAGAAAAATCGGTTTCATTTCCAAGAGTAACTAATGATTCTTTTCAATTTTTATTAATTGAAATTTAGAATTAGATTTAAAATAATAATGAGTGATAATCTCTAAAAAATTCTACTTCTTTTTCTACCTTTATTTTGTTTAATAAATAAGATCCTTTAATTTTTTTTAAAATTTGTTAACTAATAACTAATAGTATGCAATTTTAGATAAATTCGAACACCTATGTAGTACTTTACATGCTAAAGAATCAAATCAATAATGTTGTAAATAAGGAAGTGTTTAATAACATATAAATTTCATTTTCATGAAATTTTTAATGGCATGAGAAAATTTAAATACAACAATACCTTTCAAAAAATAAATAGGTAATAAATGCTCCTGTGCATCGCACGGGTACCATACTAGTATATATATAAAGAGGAGCAACAAAGTATTTAATTTTATTACCAAGCATTAAATTTTATTCTCATGCATTAAATTCCTCTAAAATTTTCAGCATTCAATTTCATTTTTTTAAGTTACAAAATAACTTGCTTGAATGCCATAAATTATGAGCATCAACCAATCGAGGGAGTTACAAACTTGTACTCAAATTTTAAGTTACACCCACTCATAAAAATGGTTGGGTGTATTAGCATAAAGAAAATGGTTGTAACGGCTCTTTCATAGTAATTACTTGATCAAAATCAATTATGAAAATTATTTTCTTAATTCATATTTTTTTCATGAATTAAATTATGATTTTTTTTATATATTTTTATATTTTTAAAGTATTCGTCTATGTGCAAATGCACAAGTTGATTACTAGTAAAATGTAAGATTCAATCCTAATTATTAAATAAAGATTCAGATATTTTGTCAAGATTTAATCTTTTAATTTTATTTTTTAATTACTTAAATATTGATTTGACTGTTTGTTGGTTAACTGTTGACCGTTGACTTCTGACATTGACTTCCGACGTTGATCGTTGACCGTAGTATGTATTATGTGTAAACTAAATATACATTATGTGAAAAACAAACGTGTACTCGAAATATGAAGTTAATATGAACTAAATGTATATACTCAATGTGTATTTTTTATGAACCAAATGTGTATTATGTATGAAGTAAATGTGAAATCAAAATATGCAGTTGGTATGAACTAAATATGTATTTTTGTATAAACTAAATATGTATGAACTAAACGTGCATTTCTACTAACTAAATGTGCAGTCAAAATCTGCAATTGGCAACAATATCTTGGAGCCTAAAAGTATCAAATAAGTATATGCTTTGTTTATTAACTAAATATACATTATGAATGAATTAAATATGTATTTTGTAAGAACTAAATGTGGAGTCAAAATATGCAATATAGAGCAATATTATTGAGTCTTACTAACTGTAGCTAGTGTATTTATGTTCTCAACTAGTATGCATTATATATAAACTAAATATATATTTTTTATTATCCAAATATGCGCAATGAAAGAACTAAACATGCACGTATTATAAATTATATATTAAAAAAATATATTGGCCGGTTTGACCGTCGGCCGACGATCAATGTTGGTCAATCAATTTATTTATTATATGATTAATTTAAATATAATAATTATTATTTTTTATTATATAGTTAATATAAATTTCAATTCATTAATATAGTCATTGATATACATAAATTAATATATAGAATTGAGTCTTATATTCCCGGAGGAAATGTCTATTTAATCTAACCTTATATATATTATATAAATATGTTAAAATTGGAAATAAGTTTTCTGATACAGTTTTTATGTTTTAAATATAGATTCGTATTACACGAGTACGTGTTTAGAGCACCCACAATGCTTTGTGTCTTTTTTTGTATATGTGGCAAATAAATAGATTTAAGTCTATGATGACATGGACAAACCCAAATTAAAAAATAGTCAAAATTTATCCAATGCAAAAAAAAGTATTAGGTCTTGAATACCTAAAAAACAATAAAAATATAATAATAGTAAATGATTGTTGATTGTACAAGTTCACACTTGGGTCCAAAATAGACTTAAGAGTAGATTTGGTCTCTTTTTTTATTATTACATAAACTAGATTAGGTTCACTTTTAATTGCATTGAGAAACACTTTTTTATAGATTACTTCTATTTTCTATATGGCATGTGATTTTTTTTTAAGGAGATACAAAATATTGTGGGTGCTCTCGTAATAAAACGAAGATCACTTTATAAAAAAAAAAGTCTGATGTTTAGAGCAAGGTTTTGTTACACGCGCTGGATGGGAACGAAAATTTGGAAAACGCCTGAGAATGAGTCAGCAAAACGTGTGCGTTGTAATGATCTGTTTGTGATTGTGATGAGAAGTGTGAAATGAGTGGGGCCCACTGACGCGGAACCGAGTCACATCCAACAACGATTTGACCTATTTACTATTTTTACCGTCGCAATTGCCACTATGAGTACACAAACATCCAGCATCGCGCCACGTCATTCATCTCTTTTGATTAGTTCGGCACCAACCATTTTGTTGGTTGTATCTGAAAATTTAATAAAATGGAAAATAGCTACTTTCACATGTGGTTGAACATAAGAGTTTGATTTTTATAAATTAATTTATTCATATTTATTTAAACTCAATTTTAACTCAACCTCAATATCTTTAATATTATTCATATAATCTATCCTATATATAATTGCAGAATGTGTTGAGTCTCAATGTCATGTCCTCATACTTCGTAATCCTATGTGGCAAAAAATCATACTTTGGAGTCAGAATGGATATAAATTAATATTTTCTATACAAAAGTAGGTAGGTTTGAATTTCATTTAATGTTTATATCATTCACATATTAAATCATAATTGATTCTTTCTTTCTTTTATTCTACATTTACTTACCATAAACTATTTTAAGTTTCCTTTTCCTACATTACCATATATTAAATTTCATTTTCTTAATTAATTTATACATCAATTATTATAAATGTTTATTCTTCTTATTTTTTAAATTTTATAGCTTTTTTTGTTTGTATTTTATTTTTGTATATGATATCTCAAATTATTTATCTTTAAACGATCTTCCATTTGACATTCATATTATATATACAAAATATAAAACAATGATATATAGTCTTATAAATAAAATCTAAAACTATTTAACAAACTAGATTTTATCATATAAAGCAATAAAATTTTTAAGTGTATTAACATACCATAATATAGTTATTTTATTTAGGAAAAAATAAATAAACTAAGTGTGACCATCAAAATAGTATAAAAATAGTATTCTAAAAGTTTATGTCTCGACTTAAATAAAGACTACACAGAAATATTATGATCGTGGAAAAAAAAGTAAATAAACATTATAATTAAAATTATAAATATAATTATTTTATTTCATAAAATTTAAAATATTACACTCATACACAATATATTTTAAATTTTTGAATATTATAAAGTTGAAGATATTTTAAAAAAGATTAAATTAGGGAGGAAAATTGCATAAATCTAAACTATAATTACAATGTAATCAAATTTTAAAAAATAAATTAATTCAAAATTAAATTATAGAGTTGTATATATATATATATATACACGTGTGTGTGTATGTGTGTGTGTGTTTGTGGTTAAGAAAATTATCATTTTAACAAACTGAGTATAAAATAAGAGTATTATTTTAAATAATTATTTTTGTTATTTTTTAGTTATATTTAATTTATTATCATTCTACTATAAGAATATATATTTCTTCACTTCATTATCTTGATACAAATATTTAATTTTCAAGCGTCCGTGATATTCACGGGCATTATTAACTATCAAATAAATTAATTAATCTATTTAATTTTGGAAAAACAAATATATATTAAATAACAAATAATACTTCATAATAATATTTTGTAGAATTCGAAA